GAAAGAGAAAATAGATCCTCAAGGGCAGTGACTGATGTGCATGGTCCTTTTTTTCTGGAAAATATGGCAAAATGCATTGAGTGATATACATAAACTGTTCCTTTCAATTTGAAGGAATAAAATATTATTCTAGTCTAACTACAAACAGTACATACAATCCTAGTTAATTGCATGTTTTAATTTGCCAAAGATATGTTGCAGGTGTACGGTTAAATGTTTCAGCTATAAAGCCCCTTTCACACCGACGCACTGATTGGGTTCGCCTGTCAGTTTTTTTTAGGAGGACCCAATCGGACCATCCATAGCTCTCTATGGATCGGCAGGTATTGGTGGACATGTGTCCGCTGATGGCCACTGGCATCTGATCCGATCCCGTCCCCTAAAAAAAGATGGATGGGGATCTGTTCCCCATTTGTTGGACGGATCGAATGACAGTCGGATGGAGGCGGACAGATGGTCCATTTCCACCCAACATAGGGAACAGCAGGCTGTGTCCATTTCCACTCTGCATAGTGGAGCGGATGCGGACCTGTCATCCACCTGCTAAGCGTGGTTTTGCGGAGAGATCCCCCACTGAGCAGACAGATCCACTTGATGGAGTCCACCCTGTCTGAAAGGAGCCTAAATATACTAAAAAAAAACCATTTCCAAAAAAAAAATATATACCCAGACAGAAAGAAAAACTGTAAAAAATATACAGCATATAAAAACACAAAGAAAGCAGTAGCTCTGCAAAAAAAAAAAAATTAATTATATACAATGTTCTTTTAATGGACCTGAAATAAATGGACAAATAAATATTTCTGCAATAAGGACTATAAGGAAATGAACCTGTACCATAACACATTTTCCAAATGTCTGGTAGGGATGGCAGGGGAATAAAAATATTTGCAGTCTTTGGTTCAAATGACGAGCTTGAGAAACTCTTTGGATTGCAGGATTGCTGATACCTGTATTTAGGCAAGTTAAAGATAATACTACAAGCCATATGATAATTTCTTGCTTCAACAACTTCAATTTCAAGTCCATTATTTCCTCTCATGCATGTAAATAAATTTTTGTGATTCCAGACAAATATGAAGCGGGTTTCAGAGTGTGATGCACGGCCTGTTTGGATTCTATTATACTGTAATGAAACATTCTGTAAGAAAAATGCTCCATTGTAATGTGGAATTGTGAGGACGGAGGAACATTCTAGCACATTCATTTAACAAAAGCAAATTTGTTTTATTCACTGCCTTTCACTCTGTGGATGCACAGTGATTATATTTTATATTATATTATTGGCACTGATTATATTTTATAATCTGTTTAATTTTGTTATAAAAAAATCTTTAGAAATTTTGTAAAATGCATATTATTCACAAACACATTTTCACATAAAAGAAAAAAATAGAATCGAGGTGAAATTTTGTACATATTTTTTTAATTACTTTGTTAAAAAAATCCACAAAAATAAATTATTGTGATTCATTTTAATCATTTTGCTCTTCAATGTTTTAGTCATTAGTATAATACTTAAAAAATTATTTTAAACAAATACATTTAAATAAAATATTTTAATCAAATAATGTGTTCAGATCACTCTCCAATGGTATGGAAATTCATGTTAAGGTTTTTTTTTTTACACCAAATGATGTAATAAAAGTGGAACTATGCATTCATGAAAGCTGAACCGCAAGTAGATTTACAATATGGTCAATAGCACCATTGCACCTACCTATATGGCCAAGAGTATGTGGACACCCCTACAAATGATTGAGTTCAGGTGTTTCCATTGAAGAGTACTGCTACAACATACAATATGGTCAAACGTTTGCAGACATCTGAACATGGCACTTGCTTAAAGTATGTGGACCTCCCTCCAAATAATTGAGTTCAGGTGTTTCCAGTGAAGGGCACTAGTAATGCAATAGCATGCAAGACATTTTATGCAATTGTGCTTCTCCAACCTAGTAGCCACAGTATGGGGAAGGCCCTTTCCTGTTGCAGCATATTCTGTGACCCTGTGTACAAAGCTAACTCCATTAATTACAATTTGATAAGTTTAATGTGGAGCCTGCTCAAAGCCCTGGCCTCAACCATACTAAACACTTTTTGGATGAATCGGAAACACTAATTGTGAGTCAGGCCCTCTCATCCCACATTATTAACTGACCTTACAAATGTTCTTTTGTTTTCTTGGGCACAAAATTTAGATACTCTAAATCATGGGTTTCAAACTGGCGGCCATCCAGCTCCAAACTACAAGTCCCATGAGGCAAGACTGACAGTTACAAGCATGACTCCCAAAGGCAGAGGCATGATGGGACTTGTAGTTTCGCAACAGCTGAAGGGCCGCCAGTTTGACACCCCTGCCCTAAATCTTGTGTAAAGCCTTCCTGGAAGAGTGGAGGATGTTACAGCCACAACAAGAGGGGCCAGCTCCATAATTCTTACGGTTTTGGAAAGGAATATCCAACATTATACAACATGCAAAGACATTTTAGACGATTGTGCACTACCAATCTTGTAGCCACAGTTTGGGGAAAGCCTTTTACTGTTCCAACATAACCATGCTACTATGCACAAAGCCAGCTCCATAAAGACATGGTTTGACTAGTTTGGAGTAGAGGAAGTCAAGTGATCTGAAGAAAGCTCTGACCTCAACTCTACTGAACACCTTTTGGATAAATGAGAACGTCAACTGTGAATCAAGTCTTTATATTAAGACCCTCTAAATCCCTGCACATCAGGACTTCACCTGACAGGAGGAGTAAAACAGTGTGGACCAAACAGGTTCTCCTTCTCTGCACATTGCTGTTAATATTACACTGTGAGCTAGAGACAGTATCATCCATGTGGAGATTCTTCTCCATTATTCAAATCAGCAGGCTGCTGGAGAGTGACTGAGCGTTACAGCTCATCTGCAGTGGAGAAAAGAACAGCCACCAGTGCAGGTGCCTTGCAAGTTTCTTGAGTCACATAACATCCTGAACAGAGTTACAAATATTTTGGTACTTAAGACAAATCACATATATATATATATATATATATATCTTATTGTATATACAGCTGCATGCCTGGAGTTCAGCTCTAATAAAATGAAATGGAAAGGGAACCACCAGAGTTTACTTATTTGCTAATTAAAAAAAGAAAGAAAATATCTATAATAAATCTGAACATTTAATGAAACCAGGAGATTTAATGAAGTTTATTTATACACACTATGTATAATTTTCTCATGGCGAATGACTAAAAATTACCATCATATATCCATTAATGAACTTGGAGAATTTTTATTTTCGCAATGTGTTGCAATAGAAATGTTTGTACTGGAAGGGTATACAATTTTTTAGCCATGAAGACATTCATCTTGGATTTGGAAACTTTAAAGAGCCCTAGTTATTTTTGTCTTATTAAAGTAATTAGGTTGATGAAAGCAGACACTCTTCATTAGAGTTTAACGCAGAAGCTGCGCTCATTTTGCAGAACGTTATTTATCAGTCTGCAGTTTATGAGCTGTGGCCAATGTTAATGTAGTTTCACTGTCGTGTAAATATATTTATTCCTGTTCCAATCAAAGCAGTAAAATCAGAGGATGAATTACAAAGCGCCATTGCTGCAAAATCTTGTCACTTGCTTATCTCAGAAACTCACTAAGAAAGTCATTGTAAGAGACTTTGGATTTTAAATCTTTGTCAAAGTAACCCAGAATGTGGAAAAACTCCTCCTCAGAAACGTTGATGCCAAATTTCCGTAGGACCTAAGAAAAAAAATAAAATAAAATACATATCTGTGAAGGTTCTTATCTATCAAGGTCATGGTATACAACTAGCAGTAGTTAGCCACATTTTACTGGCATTGTTCTGTAACTATGAAGATGTTTTACCACTCGTGCAAGTGACTTCCAATTGCAACAACTGAGACAGCCACTTAGATAACTAGCAAAACAAGTTAAAAAATACCTTGTCATCAACCTACCCACTTCCCCTCTAAAACAGTTTTTTTGCATTTCTTTGCACACATATTAAATCAGCATTTTTGGCTAGAAAATTACTAGAAGCAGCAGATGCTGAGGGAAGGACTTAAAGCAGATTTTTGCGCCCATAACAGTAAAATGCACAGTTGCATTCAGTTCTGTATTCTCAATAATAAACACTGTATACTTTAATTCCAAAATAGTCTTTTACGTAAACAAACCATTCAATTTTCTGCTCTTCTGCCTCTCCCATGTCACCAATGCCTCCTGGGAAGGCTACATTACCAGAGCCTTCCAAGAAATTGAGTTTTCTAAACCACAAGATCTTGTAGATACAGTAACTCGATTTTTTTTTTATTAATTCAGCACAAACCCTGTCAGATCTCAAAAAGTGCATGTGCAAGGTCTGGCACAGACCTTAGCGAAGGGCCGGCCCAGAGAAGGAAAAAAGCTAGCCACCGATGACATAAAAATTTTAAATGGCAGTGTTTTTCAGTATATGATTAATAGAGCCATAAGATTTTGAAAATGAAAAACAAAATAGGCAAATAACCATCTCAATCTTTATTAGTTTCCAAAAGAAAGTTTTTTAATGCTGGTAAGGTAAAAGTGTGTGTACGGGAGGAAGGGGATCCACTTTATCTGCATTGCTTCTGCTGTGAACTTTGACAGTGATTTGCTCCACTGTGCCTGCACCTACAGAAATCAGTAGGTCTTGTTGAAACTAATTTAAGTATGCAAATGTTGATAGCCTGGCCGCAGGTTCAATTAAAAACTGGGCTAGTACAGTTTTTTTAATTGTAAAGTACATTTAAAAAAATTCAATATAGTGTACTCAGAATATGTATGGTTGATTTCTCTGTCTTAGCTGAGGTTTTCTTTTAGGCACATATTCAGGAACACACGCACGCGCACGCACGCACGCACGCACACACACACACACACACACACACACACACACACACACACACACACCAAGGAACAAAATAGGAAAAAAAAATCAATGTACCTGTTTGAAATCCGAAATGCTTATATACCCTGTTCTTGCATCATCATAGGACTGGAAGGCTCTCCTCATTGGTCTCCAACAATCCACTATCTTTGGCTGGATTCTGAGTACGGCATCCATGAATGAGGAACCATGGAATCCCACGCTCATCTATAGGCAATGAAATACAGAAAAATACAAAAAATACAGCCTGTTTGTAACATGATCCACAGTAAATGAGATTACATCTGTTTAGAGGAAGGCAATATATAGATCATGAACTCCAAAAAATGAGGGGCCTAAGGAATAAACAGGATGTGGTGCCTACAGATAATAATCCCATATATCTGGGCCTGGATGATGCAAACTAAAGGAGTCTTTTCTGCACGTGCCCTAATCTGATTTGACAGATGTGCAGGACAGACAGAACTGGTTAAAGTGTATGTACAGCCAAAACAGTTTTTTTTAATTATTCCACTGTTTTGATTGAGTGTGCAGGGTTACAACCCCTGTCTGTTTTTTCTTGCTTAAAACATACAGGAGAGCCAAACCAAATGATGAAAGATTCAGAATTACTTTTATTGTTCATCATATGATCACATAAATAATCCAATGCGTTTCAGGGGTTCACAAACAACCCCTTCATTTGGACATTTTAACAAGGCTTACATGGACTTAGTAAACTGAATAACGAGAATATCTCTAATTTGCTGGTAAATGACAAGAATAATTGTGCAGTATACTGTATGTCAGTAAAAGTTGGACAACAAAATGCTTCTTGATGAAAACGAATGGAGGTTTTAGATGTACACTTTAAAACTGAACTCCTGGGTAAATACAAGAGACACGTGCACTGTTAGTTGAACCTTGCTGTATTTTGTATATTTCATATCTGTGCAGTAATCAAGTGTAATAATTTGTCGTTGTGTAGGAGTTTCCTGTAGAAAAGACCAATCACTTCTGCTCTCTCTCCTTTTGTAGGATGACTTGTCTTGTCTCTGCCTCCTCCCATAGGTTTCTGTAGACAACCTTTAGTGGGTGGTCCTGCTGAGCCCCTCGCACAGATCTGCTCTCCGCACAGGCTATGTACAGCACAGTGATGATGCCACTGCTACTGTTACAAGGTAATAACTTAGTTTGCAAAGGTATTTGGTGAAAGTAGATTTATATTCTTTGTGGCTATTTAGGGATATATCTATATGAAGGCTTTTGTGACTGGAGTTCATCTTTAATTTTATGCCCAAAAACAAATCACAAAATAATGTTATTCCATTGAGAAGGGTTATTATTCTCAGCAGACAATCGTTAAAAGATAAGTTCACCTGCAGCTCAGCCCCTGATCCCCTGTCCCTGTGACAGTTGGTGGAGGATCCTCTCCCCGCACCTGCTGTCAAATTCTGAAAACAGCATGGCACGCGGCGGAATCATTCATTCACAGTTTCCTGTGAATTAATGTCTATAAGTACCGTCGGCCACTGTAGATGATGGCTTGCAGTTCTCAATTAACTATGAGGAGGGCACTGGTGAGCGCTTTCGTAGTCCATTGGTCTACCTGGTGGAGTAACTGCTTGCCTGTATGAGGCATTTTTAAAGTGTTCTTGAATTTTTTACAAAACTTCAGTGTAGGTTAGCTGAATTTTTGAATTAGTTGAAATTTTTTGGCTTGTCTTTGGCTGGCCTAATGTGACCGTGACAGTTGGCTCCATATTGTAGGCAGCAAAATATAAGCTCAAAGATCAGAAGCATGCACAACACGAATCTCTATAAAGAAAAAAACCACAATACATACTGGGATCCTTGGCTTTTGCAGTTTTACTCTCTGAAGGAGAGCTGATCCTTGCTGCTTTGGTCCAAATGTGACATTGCGCAGGAAGTCTGTGTATGACAAATTTCCGTTGTTTCTTAAATCATATTTCAGAGTTAACTGCTCCAGTTCTTCCTTCATCACATCCATGTTAAACCTTTTCATGACATCTGAAATAACAACAAGCCAATAGACATGCTCAGGTGATACTCGTTATTAGCGATGACCCAAGTTATCCGGAACCTGCAGGAAACTGGCACATGATGCAGCTGCTGGCTCAATCAGCTGCGACCATGAAAATCCCTTCAGACGCACTTAACATGTGGACAACGTCTTTGAGCATGTGGCCATATTAGGTCACTTATGTCCCAAGCATCCCTGTCCCTTTGTCCTGACCTTAAACTAGGGGGTGGGGGCAGAAGGGACACAGCCGATGACAGGAGTAGTGACAGCGGTATCAGAACTCTTGTGGCCGGCACCTCTGGAGGGATGCTGGAGATGCCAGTGCAATGACAGCTCAGCCAAGTAAACAAAGAGCATCAGCAAAGGAAGACTGCCACCACTTTATTCCTCAGCTGGGCTCTGCACTAGATGGGTCATCAGTTGACTTCAGTACAACCAGCCTGTCAGATTTTTTTTTCATGCAATTACTGCCAGCGGCTATAGCCATCTACAGTAATCATTGTGTTTGCACTGCAGGAGGAATTCCCCCATCAACATTGACTGTGCTGATGAGCAACTGAGGCTGCAGGAAAGAAAACTGAATCATCTATGGCTACTGACTTTTGACAAAAAAAGGTTGAAATCTATATAACAGTAACTGTACCATTTAGTATACTTGAGAAACACAGTGCATGTGAAACAGCTGGTGAAAAAAAAAAAACACAATGCCTAAAGTGGTTGTAAAGGCTCAAGGTTTTTACCTTCATGCATTCTATGCATGAAGGTAAAAAACCATCTGTGTGCAACAGCCCCCTAGCCCCCTAATACTTATCTGAGCCCCCATCTCAAACCAGTGATGTGCATGGGAGCAGCAGCTCTCTGGGGTCTCTCCCTCCTCATTGGCTGAGACAGAAGCGGGAGCCATTGGCGTCTGCTACTGTCAATCACAGCCAGTGAGCCAATCGGGCCAAGCCGCACTCTGTGTCTGAATAGACAGACAGAGCGGCGGCTCTGGACCGAGCCAGTTTGGGTTCCCCGATAGCAAGCTGATTGCTATGGGGGCACTCGGCAGAAGGTAGGGTCCAGGAGCACCGGCAGGGGACCCGAGAAGAGGAGGATCGGGGCTACTCTGTGCAAAACCACTGCATACAACAGGTAAGCATGGCGTGTGTTATTTAATAAAAAAAAATCAGCCTTCGATATCACTTTAAAGTAGAACTATATGCAAAACATTTTTTATGATTTTGGATAGAGTATGAGATGGTTATAAACCCATGTTAGTTTATTTTTTGCCATCTGTGTCCCATTGGGGAGATTTCCTTTCACTTCCTGTCTAATTGCCAAAACAGGAATTGAGAAAATCTCTGCAAATAAAGGGAATTCCTTGGGTTCCCCCAGGTCACCAGAACTAATGTCCCCACTGGAAAATTTCCCCTCTATTACTTTTTTAAGGACAACCCAAATTTTGGGGTTTCTTTTACTTTTTTTCAATGACAGTAGTAAACAGGACAATAGTGAGAGTGAACAGTGGCACAGACAGCAATAAAAACCTCACAGTTATTCTAATCAATCTCCACTCCGTCCAAAACTAAAAAAAAAAGTTTTGCCTTAGTTACATTTTAAATGCTTTACTTTAAATCACTTTTAGTCTATGCCCTGGCATCACTGGCTCCCACTTCTGCAATAGGGCAGTTACACTAAAGATTTTAGCAGAGTCACAAGAATCACAGGGAAAATAAAGAAAGGGACAAGCTTGTTGACTTCTTTACCTGAGAAATCAGAAGCAGAAACTTCTCCCTGCTTTTCAAGATCTTTCTCTCGGAATGCTTTATGTACGTCTTGCCAGCATTTGATAAGATTTATTTTCAATCTGCTCTCTACCCGCTCACAGTTTATGATTGGTGTAGAAGGAGGGGCTGCAGTACGTGGTCTCTGTATAGGAGTCTATGAAGAGAAGCAGAACAGATATTACAGTATGCATGCTTAGTAGCAAAAAGAAGGCCATTCCTAACATACGCTGCGTATGAAGAGTGTGATCCAAATGGCTAATCACCAGATTACATCATCTGTTTATCTGATTTTCTTTATCTACCTACAGACAGATTTCTAATTATTTCACTAATTTACAGTAAAGACATATTCTGAAATACTAAAGAGTTGTAGTAATAGATCTAAGCCTTAACTATAATAAATGTAGTTTGCTAAAAAAAAATTGACATTTCTTTCATAAAATACTCTTTGCAGCTTTCTTGCATATCAGTATTGCTCCCTACTGTGGCATCTTCATCATTACTCCACCAATTATCAGCTTCAGTATGAGGAATCAAAACCTCTACCAAGATGGCTGCCTCCAAACAGGAGAATCAGTACCAGGGAGACCTCATGAAATACTGCTGGCTAGTCCATTGTCTTCTGCCTGCATTTTTTGGGCACAGTTTCACCAGACCCAAAGTCTGTGGATAGAGTTTCCTAGAATCCTTGAACCTCTTCTGTAACTTGCACACAAACACAAAAAATGACTTACAGTAGGCTTGTTAGCAATGGCTGGTGCCGTTTTGGGGCGTCTGGTCATAGAAGCTTGTCTCTTTGTGGTTGATGCCTTAGAGGTCGGTTCTGTATTATGTGATAATTGATCTTGTGAGGGTGTTTCTGGGATGTCATTGTTGAAATTCTTCAAGAAATCATGATATCTGAGATTTCCATATGAATTTAGGGGCAAGCTGTTCCAAAGATTTTCAAACTGTAAAGAACCAAAAAAGGGTACCAATGAAAAATTACCCCTTGCTAACATACTAACATAAAATGCACAAGCCACAGAATTATTCATACACACAATATAACTTACTTTTCTCATTTTCCTGCTACTGCCTAATAGACACACTATGGAGTAAACTTCATCTGGCCCATTGTTGTCATGTATGCTAATAAACACCCTTACCATCAACGAGTATAGACTATTGCTGGGATAATGCTACACAACCCTCTTCCATCTCCAAATAAATTTAGTTTAAATTACAAACAAATAAGTCACTCAGAAATCAGCAGAGAAGGCCTTCCAGTTAAATCTTTTAGCTCTGGTTTATACCAGTGTGACTTGTCATGTGATTTGACAGTTCCATTTGTGTCTATGGAACCGTTCAAGTCGGTGTGCCACTGACTTTGCGGTGTGGCACCGATTCTGAAGAAAGGTTCCTGCACTATTTTTGCCAACTTCATGTGTGACAAGGAAGCTGCACATGAAATTGCACTGACCAGCAGATATGAAATCGTGATACTTCAGGTGAAGTAGCGTGATTTCAAAGCCACATTCAGTGTGAACCAGGGCTTACCACCAGAGGCTTAAAGTGCAACTAACCCCCGAAACCAAAATTTTATATATTGTAGCTTACCAGTCACTGCATGTGGTGGCTGCATTAGTTTATTTTTTTTTCAGGTTTCTATACATTTATTTTTACCTGGTGATTGGCCAGTAGCACACCTCCTGTCTTAGGGTGGCTACATTCACTCCTCCACTCATTGCCGGGATGAGGTCTTCCAGGGGCATCTCATGGGGCCCTCTACTAACCCCCGGGTCCTCGGGCAGTGCCCGAGTTTCCAAATGGTTAGTCCACCCCTGGTAGCCACACTTGGACAGCATCATTGTCAATCAGTGGAGTGTGTGTTGTTGGATGGACTAGTAGATTTACATGGACTTTGCAGTAGTGAATAACAAGGTAAAGCCGAACTTCACTTTAGAAAAACAAATGGAGCTAACGGGCAAAATCCCTAAATGTACAGCTAGCACACCATTAGATACAAAATGGTAATACAGAATAAACCCAAACTCAAGTGCAGCACTCGTAAAACAAAAACAAAACTAATATTAGTCCAGTATGTGTGTTTATAGTAAAATGCCCATACATACAAAAGAACTCCATGAGAGTGCGTTTGGTGTGTCTTGTTCCATTATTATTTGCAATATAAGATAGAAGGTGGAATTTTCATTGTCAAGTTTTTAGCATTTTTTTTGTAATACAGTCTTGTGGTTTAAAGTGCATCTATCAGGTTTTTATTGCAGTCTGTCTGTGTATCCTTGAGACCATTGTCACTAGTACAAAAGAAGGGAAAATCCAAAATTCTGAGTTATCACCAGAACAGGAATAGAGAGGAAACTTTCTATTGGGGTTGCTTATTCCTGTGAGAATTGTTTAAGAGGGGATTTCACTTACTTTGAAGAGATTTCCTCTCCCTTCCTGTTGTGTCAACAGGCCAGGAAGTTATGGGACACCCCTGACAAAAAAAAAGCCCTGCATTACTTTAGCCTTTCCCCAATCTATCCAAAATAATAAAAAAAAAGTTTTAGATTTAGATATCCCTTAGATCTGACCTTGTACTATAGACAAGTTTACCTTTGCCCCTCTCCCCAACTTGCTGAAATGCTTGAAATAAAGGTATAAACAAGACACATAGTGGAAGATAAAAATATATTATACTAATCTTTCCTCTGATGAGGTCCCAGAAAATGCAGAGTACCCCATAACTTGCAAGAAGATGCTGCAGCACAGCACTGGGAGCTCCTTCTCAGTGAGATTTGGATCACCCACCATTTCCCAAATATCAATGGCAGGAAGAAAATGTCACCCTTACACAGGGGAAACAGCATTATAAAATTTTTTTTACGAGTATGCAAGGGGAGGAGGGCCATAAGTAAACAGTGGACCTTGCACTGTTTGGTGCAATGTCTGCTTTAGCTCTCCAGCACCTGCGAAAAACTGAAATTTTTCAGTTTTCAGTGAGACTGGCTCTTTAACCCCTTCACACCTAAGGGAAAAAACAAATCTTAGCGCCTAAGGACAATTTTGCAACTTTGACGTGTTAGTAGAACGCTACATATCATCACAGCTACTTTGTACATCCAGGTGAATTATACCTTGTTTTTTTCAGGACAAATTGGGATTTCATTTGGTGATAAATGCTAATGGATATCTCCTGATTTTTTTTCTCATTACCAAAGGAAAATTGGCCCAAAATGGTAATAAAAAATCTTTTTGTTTAAATTTAGCTGTGTGTTTCTTGTTACTACCATAACCTACCACCAAAGAACAACCCAAAATAAATTTTCCAGCTCTTTGCAATCGCAGCGATACCATATGTGTGTATGTTATTTGTTGTTTGTACCCACAGTACAGCCCAGAAACAATAGTGCACATTTTGTTTTTAGTTTTTTTTTTTAACCTAAAACACACTGACACTGATACCAATTTAAAAAAAAAAATCCTGACCTTTGACCCTAACCCAAACACTAACCCTGGCACTGAACTACACTGAACTAGATCAAACCTTGATCTAGGTATTTTTTTTCCCTTTCTTTTTCAATATTTATCTATTTATCTTTTTTTTAACAAACAGTTGTTGTTTTTTTTCTCTATGCAAGGAGAGAGAGAGATACAATGTATCTCCCTCCTCCATTAAGAGAGAAAAAAAAAACAAGGGGGGCGAACCGTACAGTGACTGATCACTGTGATAGCTAATCAGAGGCTATCACAGTGATCATGTGACTCGGAATCGGGAGCTCTCAGTGACACCTCCATCTTTGTGCTGGAAGCGTGCCATGCAGCGCGCTCCCATCACAAAAACAGGTACACAAATATGCAGCCCCACGGAAAAAAGTCCAGTTCTGTGAGGCCGCATATTTGTATGACATCGGCGTGAAGGGCTTACGATTTTTATTTTCATAGATATATATATATATATATATATATATATATATATATATAAAAACATTCATAAAATTAGAATTCCCATTTGAATGTACAAAATACATCAGAGTTACAGTGTGAATCGAAGCGCAAGGACCACTACTTCCCGGACTTGTATGACATCACATCAGGCCTAGGATTGAGGCTTGGAATGCACAGCAACCAGCGAGAGTGGTGCAGCATTAGCAGCATCACAATACTTTACAAGCTGTATACACTGGTGCTGGTTTGTGAGGCACCTATACATGTGAATGTAATTCCTTTCCTTTCTCTCTTGAGTTATGCGGAGTGGTCTTACGGAGCCTTTCAAGCTCACTGGGATTTTGATTTTGAGACACTTTTTCTAGTTAGCTTAGTAGTCTGTTACTTCATGTGGAATGCACGGTGTCAGCTTTCCACTCGGAAAAAAGTCCTTCCTGTTTTAGGTGGTGGTGCACAACATTCTGGGTGAGGTTGGGAAGATTCGGGGTCTTGAGGACAGGTGGCTGACGGGGGCCTGGACAAAGGCATGGAGGAATGTCAGGCCCCTGTAACTGCTATCTGTCAATTTCTGGGTGCGTGGCTTCTCTTTCTTTCCTTTTAAGTCCGCTAGATTTTTATAAGATCTTATTCTGGAAATAGGCTGTACGCGTATGATAAATGTTTGTTTCTGGCGGAGCCTGACTATGGCGGCTGAGGAGAGCTCGAGGTAGGAGCTCTCGGATTAGCTCCTCTGTCCGATCCCCCTCAGGCCCCCATGGAAATGTGAAAACCAGCAGGGTGAGACCTACCTATGCCTAGTGGGCACCCTGGGAAGAGTGGCGGTCCGTGAGAGGGGAGACCCGGGAGCCGGAGATTAGCTGGTGTGCAGCCCTGCAGTGACGGCGTGTCTGGGTGCCGGGAGGTGTGGTGGCATGGCTCGAGTGCGTGGCCGGCCGCTATGCATCTCTGGGAGCCGAGGAAGCCGGCCGGCATCTGACAGGAGGAGGGAGAGACGCTGCCCCATAGTCCTGAAGTGCTGTGGTGAGGTGAGAGACAGTGTGGCTGACAGAGAGAGTAGAGGAAATAACAGCCCTCTGCTCTACAAACCCCTCCACCACAACTCAAAGAGTCCAGCGTTCCACAACGTTCCACAGCCCCCTCCACCATAACTCCCAGTGGGTTCACAGCCCCCTGCACTACAACTCCCGGCGTTTTACAGCCCCCTGCACCACAACTCTCAGCGTTACACAGCCCACTGCATCACAACTCCTAGCGTGCCACAGCCCCCTGCATTACACCTCCCAGCGCTCCACAGCCCCCTTGTACTACAGCTCCCAGAGCTATAAAGCCTCCTCCATCATTACAACTCCCAGCGTTACTCAGAAGAGCATGGAGAAAAGTCCTGGAGGGTCCCCCTGAGAGGAAGAGAGCGGACCTGCTGAAGGAATTGGAGGAAGGAGCCTGGAGCCATCTCACGAGAAGCGTTGGAGGGGTGAGTGAGTTTGGCGGTGGCCCCAAAACACAAAAACTGTATAGAGTTGGATGAAAGCAGGGAGAGAAAGAAAAGGGGGGGACCCCCAGAGAATAAGAATAAAAAAAATAAGGAGATAAACGCAAGGCGCAGGCAAAGGCATACAGAAGGGTGGGAAGACAAAGCTGGGAATTCTATCTCTACACCTTATTAATTTCTTCGTTTTGCAAATTATAAGTCTATAAGAGAAATAAAGTTTACACAAGAAATGAAAAATAAAAGTGCAAAGGGAACCGGGCCTAAAGGGACACAAACGGGGACAATTAAAAAGTACACATCCCAGGGAAATGTGACCCCAGAAAGGCCCCAGAGCAGAGAAGACAAAGGAGAGTCTGATTTAAGTATGCAAAATAGTCCTAAACAGTCAATGGAATTGGATATCAGTAATCAACAAATATCAGAGACAGAAACAGAATTACAAATCCCAAATAAAAGAGAGATGACAGAAATGTTCAAAGATCTGGAGAGAACAATAAAGCAAGAAATGGTAAAAAAATTCGGAATGAT